AGTTCACTTTTAGATGTAATAATAGGAGGAGGTGGCCATTTGAGTTCTCCATTTAATGTAACTAATGATTATCTAACAACATCATCATTCAAATCAACTTATGTAATATTTCCATTAGGATCTTTGATAGTTCCTACAATATACTACATTAATTTTCCAATATTATTAGCATAAAGAGTTGAACTTTAAGTAGGTAATCTACTTGGTAAATCTGTATAACCAATGATTTTAACTTTTCCTTAATGATTATATAATTCTCCTGGTTTACATAATTCACAATTTCCTCCAGTTTCAGCAGCTAAATCAACAATGATTGATCCTTATTTCATATTTTCAACTAATTCTTTTGATAATAATTTGGGTGCTGGTCTTCCTGGAATGAGTGCAGTAGTAATAATAATATCAACTTCTTTGGCTTACTTTAAGAATAAAGCTAATTCTGCTTCTAAATATTCTTTTCCCATTTCTTTAGCATAACCACCAATACCTGCTCCATCAACAACTTCTCCATTAATTTTGACTTCTAAGAATTCAGCTCCACAAGATTTTACTTATTCTTTAGTAGCTAATCTTGTATCAAATGCTCTTACAATAGCTCCCATATTCTTAGCAGTTACAATAGCTGATAAACCAGCAACACCTGCTCCAATTACTAATACTTTAGCAGGTGGTACTTTTCCTGCTGCTGTCATTTAACCAGCAAAGAATCTACCAAATTCATTTGCTGCTAATACTACTGCTTTATATCCTGCAATATTTGCCATTGAACTTAATGCATCATATGTTTAAGCTCTTGTTATTCTAGGTACACATTCCATAGCAAATGTTGTTATTTTCTTCTCTTATAATTAGTTAAGTAATTCTTTATTCTATGCTGGATATATAAAAGATGTCTAGATTTAATATAAATTAATATACAAGTGTTTAATTTTCTTTTAAAACTTTTGTGTTTTCAGGAGGCCTAATTTTTAATATGACATCTGATTAATCATAAACTGCACTTGTATCTACAACTTTGGCACCAACTTCTGAATATACATTATCTGCAAAATTGGCCTTTAAACCAGCTCCACTTTCTATCAGGACCTAATTTATTTATATATATTTTATACTTGATGTCCATCCTTTACCAAATTTTTGATTGATTCAGGAGTAGCTGCTACTCTATTTTCATTTGGAAATGTTTCTTTGGGAATACCAAATACAAATTTAGGATGACTAGGCTTCTTTTCACCTTTACTTGAGAAACATGTTCTTGCACTTAATAACAATTGCCTTGTTGCTTAACGATGAAATCCTAGCATAAAATAAATATCTTTTTTTTATAAACAATATATTCCTATATATACAATTAATTTAAAAGAAATCTTTACCATATAATTTAATTTGAATATTTGTTTATGAGAGCTGCAAATTCAAATTAAGGATAATAAACATTACTTCCAGATGTCAATGAAATTAATGAATACATTAAAGAGTACTTGAGATATTCTAACTATTATAATACATTTGAATGCTTTGAAGCAGAAATTAAGAGTAAATAGGTTACCAATAAAGTAGATTATTAAATTACTATTCTAGATGTTGAATAAGTAATAAGTCATTAAGTAAACAGGGGATGATATGCCTCGTATCTTTCACTTGTTAAAAAGCGATAATATTAAATCTAAACGAGAAATCAATCTAGAGAAGGAATCAAAGTAATTTAATAAAAATACCAATAAATACTTTAAGCAGGTAGATAAATATTTTCTGTAAGCATAAATCTATTGTAATTGCTACATTCATTAAAAGAAACAGCTAAAAATGAAAATCTAAGTGAAACATTAGAAAACTATAAAATATAATTAGGAAAATACCATAAAGTAATTATAAATGAAGGAAAACCAGAAGGCACAGAATTGATTACTGAATAAGTCATGCATGAACATAAAACTAAGCTATTTAAAAACTATTAGGATAAAATATAGATGGGATGATAGAAATTTTGCTCTCTCTTAGAGTTAATGCTTTACAAATTACACCTGAATTAAGAAAAAATTTAGTTTATGAATTAATTAGAAATGATGTATTCAATATTGAAGCTACTGATAAATTTGATTTTGTTGTTCATTTATTAGATATCAATAATTAAAGTCTAAGACATGCTATTACTAGTTTAATTAGTGTTATTAGTAGTACTTTAAGAGGAGTAGAATATCTAACCTAGAATGGAAATATGATCATTATTGAAAAGATAATTAAAATTTTAAAAGAACAAGAAAACGGTTCAGTTACTTAGAGGTTCTGTTTAGCAATTTTATAAAAAGCAAGTATTAAAGACACTGTCATACCAACTTATGTACATAATGAAAGGATTCAATGGATTATTAATCTTATTCAAAAATCAGTTAATAGTAAAATTTATGTATTTTGTCTTGATTTTGCATCAGCCACATTAGCTAATATTATTCATACTCCATACACATTATAATACTTAGAAAAGTATCTCGATTTGCACATCAAGTAATGGAGTAATTGTTAAAGTTTATAAAAGATCAGATATAAGTATCGGTACTTATGCATATTTTAATTTGCTTATCTTATTTAAGTAAAGAAAACTTTGCTCATTAAATGGAAGAATGCAGATTTATTGATAGAATAAGTGAATTTGTAGAATATTACAGTGTCATTAATACTGGTATAAAAAGAAAAGATTATTTAATTAGAAAATGAAGCAGCAGAAATTGATAAAAAAACTGTTTTAGATTTATGTGCTCATATGTTTCATCCTAAAGATACTTCCTTAGACAATTCAGAAACTCTAGAGCTAAATGAATTACAAACTGAAGATAGAATCAGAGAATATGAAAATGAATAAGGGGAATTAATTTTTGAATGTTTTTAAGTTGAAGTTAGTTGAATATTTAGTTTTATATATTTTTATTATATCCGATTATATTTTTGATGAATTTATTATTTGGTTTCATATCTTATACATTTATACCTCATGTTGATATTTCATTTTTGAAATATTTGATCTTTCTTGCAATGATTCAAAATTATTATTCCCAAAATACATCACTTCAGGAAATTAATTTTTCTCAATTATTAAACACGACTGATGCTAATTTTTTCACAAATTTTTATTTTACCTAATTGTCTTATCCATGCAATTTCCTTAATCAGAAAAGGATATTCAATCAGAGCTACCTTCTGCCTTGAAAAATACAAACTTTAAAAAGAGAAAACCTATTGATTCAGATACTAAAACTAACTTGATACTTAGTGTAGTTAAAGATCATTTGCCCATATATTAGGTATTAAAGTTTCTTTATATTTTAAGGCAGCCATCATTCATAAAGTTAAATATTCGTCTGCTAAACACATTTTGAGAAATTACTACAGTGATACTGCTAATTACTTTTCTCTTCAAAAAAAGAGAAGAAGAAAGATCATTTGCTGTGGTGTTTCAGCATTAATTGAATCTAACAGTGGAAATATAGTTCTAAATACACAATAGTGTTCCACAATCCCTTTTATTAAAAATGGAGTAAATGCTCAAATCAAATAAAAAGTAATTGATCATCTAAGTGTTTCAATTCATAAACAAATATGTAAGTTTAATTTCAAGAGGGTGAATAAGGAAGTTAGAATAGACGTATTGAAACAGTTGAATAAAATAGAAAAAATTGAAAACAAAGTTAATTTTCTTATTTAGACACTTGAAAAATAACATAAAGAAATGACATAATGATAAGTTAAATATTATCTTTATTAATTCTATAATATTTCTTTTTCTTGACTTTCTTAACATCATTCATAAATTCATGATAAAAAGATTTAAAAAATGGAATATAAAATGATTTATTTTTAAATTCTCAATTAATACTTATTTATATAACTATTTTTAAATTATCTGTAAAAGAATCTAGGTTTGATGACTTCATTTAGTTTCATGTTGGTTTACAATCAATAATTAAAAAAATATTTCACAAGGACCTAATATCTATTTAGACAATAGGTTTGAAGTTATCTAGTACTTATAAATTTTTTATAGTATTATTACTACTAAAATTTAGAAACACTTGAAATATATACTAATGTAATTTATTTAAAATAATCCATTTTTAAAAGTTTATAAACAAAGCATTGAATATTTTATAGTAATTTCAATATTTAATAAATTAAACAGAAATTTAACACATTCATCATAAATTAAAAATTATATTTAAATCAAAAAAAAATCATTAAGATTGTTTAGTTTTAAGTCTATAGTAGTTATTTTGCAAAACTAGAGGTAAACAGGTTGTAAAATAGAATTTTGATTTTTATGTATTATCCATATCAAATTTACAGGATGTGCTTGTCTAAAATCTTTAATTAGAAGAAGTTTATGTAGGATATCTTCTTATATGATAACTAATGTTTTCTAAAGCAGTTCCTAAAATTCCAGGAGGAGATTTATGTTTATTTGTTTATTTTTTTGTTTTATTTTTTTATTTTAATGATTATTATATAATTAATTCTTCTGTTTTTTATCTAGAATGTTAAACACTTTAAGCTGATTTCAATAGTTTATTTAAGTAAGCTTATTCTGATTCAGCAGGATTATCTAATGTTAGAGTCTATTCTCTTAATTTATTATCATCTAATTTATTTCTGCTACTAATTTTTAAAATTTGACTTGTGCTTTTGAATAACAATTTTTATTATTTTTCTTGATTTTGTATTAAATTTTCTGGATTTAAGAATGATTTGTTTTAGGTTCTTTCAAGTATATTAATTTTTTCAGTTTAATCAATAAAATTTTTTTCATAAACCCTTATTTGTTATAAGATTTATTTTAATTTTTTATCATTTAAGGCTGTTAGACTTTTATTTAAAGCAGAATCACAATATAAAACTCTCATGAAATCTCTTTTAGAAACTGAATAAACATTATTACTTTCAAAAGTAGAAACAATACTAAATTATCTACATAAATCAGAAGCTTTTAAAATCTCAAGTTCACCAAACATTTCTCCAGCTCCTAGAAATTTTAATGTCATTATTAATTTTTTATCACTTGCAATAAGATTACCATATTTTTTTTTTTGATATAATTTATCAATTTTCTCTTAATTTGTTAATGATGGTCTATTATATGCAAATTATTATTTTAAAAATTCAACATCATCATCATTTTCTGTTTAATTATTATTTTGTTCTTTATTTGTTCTTAAACATTTGATAACCTAAAGATTTTGGAAGTAGATAATACTTTAAATTCTCCAGTTTGAATGAAATAAACATCATTTGATGGATCTCCTTCTTTATAAACAGTATGATTTAATCCAAATTTATTTAATTTCATAACATCAAATAAAGATTTGACACTCATAAATTTCCAGTCTTTAAAAATGGATAGTTTTGCAAACTCTTCAAAATACATTTACCTTTATTAATTAATCTTTTACAATATTTTAATAAATTACCACAGTTTTTTTGATAACCATATAATCTTCAGCATCCAAAACTGCTAAATGAGTTGGTGCAACAGCAGTAATAGAAGCAGATCTAGGTTCATTATTTTCTAAAGCAAGTTCTCCAAAAGCTTATCCATCACTCATTTGTATTAACTCCTTTTCTTGATAACAGTCTCCAACAAACAATCTTTTATGAATTGATACTCTACCTTACAATATTATATAGAATGTAGTTCCAACATCACCTTAAATATAATAAATATTAACTCACCCTCTCTAAATAGAGTTTCGCCCTTATTTAATGATGTATAACTCATTTTTCTTAAACATCTCTCCCATAAAAGTACTCCTTAGTCTTTATCAAGCAATTTCTAAAAATAAACTATATGTTTTGTGGCTTTTTTCAAAATCTCAATCTCATATTATGTTCTATGATATGAAGATTTTGTTAATATAATGACAACTATTCCAAATATTTAATCTGGGTTGAGTGTCTCATAAATTTATGGTTCTTATTCCATTTATAAGATATACTACTTCAATTCTTTTATCTCATCTTCTTTTAATTAATGAACTCTTTATGAATTTTTCATTTTTATTAATTTTATTATAACTCATATATTTAATTCAACTAAAAGCTTTCATTTCTTTACAAAGAATTCTATTTCTTTTCTTAAATATTGTATATTAAACACATAACTAAATATGTATAATATAACATTAGAATATTTATAATAAGAATTAAAAAAAATAAATTTGCTATATAATATTTCAATTTTTTTTGATATAATTTTTATATTATGATATACATCAATAGATGAAGCTTAAATTCTAAAATCTAAACTTTCTCTAATAAATATTTAATACCTTATTAAAAACCAAAAAATATTTGCACCTTCATATTATATCTCTCTAATTATTTTGAACTATTTGATGAGACTTTAATCTATTATTTAGCTATAACATGGTATAAACTTTATAAAATTTATCTATTAATCTTTTTAGTTATTATTATATATATAAGTTATATAACATAATTTTTTTCCAAAAACGCTTAGCATATTAAATTAATGAAAACTTTAGTAACAATAGCAATAGTGTTGTGCTTGCTTACACATCCTGTAGTATGTAAGAAACATTTCAATGATGAAGAACATTCAGCTTTTGAGAAGAGTATAAAATTTAGATATATTTAAGGTCATAAAAAACTTTCTCTTCAAGATGATCCATCATATGGCAAATTAGAAGAGATCTAAGATCATCCTCTTGGTTCAAAAATTTTATAGACAATTGCCTTATAATTGAGAGGAAATGAATCTTTAAGTGCTGTAAGCAAATTGTTGAATGACTTAAAGGGTGATTTAGAAGTATAATTTATAAATCAATATTTTTAGGGGAAATAAATTGATGCTGATAATGAAAGAGCATAAATTGGTTCATAATGCAAAAAGGATCTTTAAAATTATAGTCAAAGAATTAGTCTTTCTATAAATGAAATAAAAGATGCTGAATTTAAGGCTAAGAGATTAAATGAAGCTATTGCTGTCTATCAAGCTGAAATTAATGAGAAGGCTAGATAAATTAAAGTGTTCTAAGCTAAAGATGATACTCTTAGAGATATAAGAAGATAAGATAATTTAGATTTTTCAACAAGAACTACTTAAATGAAAGAGATGGTTTAAGCTTTTGAAGTTATTCTTCCTAAATTACATTAAGTTTGGGATGTAGCTGCTTAACATAAAGCTGGATCTTTTATTGAAGAAGAAGCAATTAATGAAGCCTTAGTTTAATTAGCTAAAATTGGGTATCAAATATTTTGAATTCTGTAGAGAGGAGAATCCAATTACTGCTATGGTTGCTCTTACATCAACTTTAGAACCAACTGCAGTTTAGACTTTGATTGAAAAAATGGAAGCTATTAGAGATTCCATTAAAGAAAGTATTTAAGCAGAAGAAGAAGCTGAAGCAAAGAATGCTAGAGTAATTTAAATTTTTATTCTTTTAGGATACAGATACTATTTTAGCAGCCATTTTCAATGCTATGGAAAGTTTGACTAGAGAAAAATCAAGTGATGAAGAAGCATTATAAGAAACTATTAGAAATAGAGATATTCAAGATAAAAGATCAAGAGATGCTCATGCTGTATTTTTATATATTTATTTAGGAATTCAATGCTGCCAAAAATGGTAATTAATAGAGAAACTAATAATGTTAAGAATACGAATTATAATATTAATAAAATACAATAGAAAGAGATAAATAGATTGCAATAATTAAGGATGTTCAAAATATCATAGCTACAAAGATAGAAGTTGTTACATGCTTTGTAGAAGAGAATAATCTATTCTGATTAATATGATAATAATAAAATATTAATCAAAAAATCAATTTTATACATTCAAAAATATGGAATAGATTTTTAACTTGATTCCCATGGTTATAATTCTTCTACTAATAATGTGGGTTCTTGAATAATATTTTTATAGGGTATTTATTTTTTGATTTTGATTGGAGTGTATATTTATGGAAGCTCAATATTTTATTTAGTTTGGTGTTTTTTAATAATATTAGAATTAGTTAATGAGTTGTCAAAGTTAAATTTCTTTGAAGTTTTTCTCTTAATGATTTCATTAATATAATATTAATATGAAGAATCTTTTTTTGGAAGTTTTCTAAGAGTATTTAATTCATTATTGATAGAACAAGATGTAGTGGATTAATTTTGATTTGGAGATAGTTTTAAATAAATAGGACGGTTATGGAATCGATTTTATTATAAGTTAATTTTACATCCAAAGACAGGTAGAAGCTTTTAATTTTTGATTTGCCTTGTTAAAGATCGTTAAACAGATAATTAATATGTTGCAGTAGGAGTATTTTAGGAATTTTAAAGATTGTCCATATATAATTAATTATATTCTAAGATATAATTATATTTTTTAAAGAAATATCTAACTTTTATGATAATACAAAATTTATCTTCAGAATTCAATGTTAGATTTACAATGCATCTTTAAGAATTGAAGAGAAGACTGGTTTAACAACAATTTATTCTACTCCAGCTTCGTAACATTATTATTTAGTGTCTTCATCTTCATGAGCAGTACAAGCAATGATTTAAAATGGATTAATTTTTTCTTCTTCAATTAAATTAGAAAGTATTGACGTTGCTGTTATACCATCCATTACAGGCATATCAACATCCATTAAAATAGTTCTAATTTTAATGTTTTTTTATCTTTTAACAAAATCAACTATTTCTTATCCATTATAACAATGAATTATTCTATGATATCCTAAACTTTTAAGAACCATCTCTAAAGAAATATGATTGAATGGTTCATCATCTACAACTACTATAGCTCCAGATTCTTCAACTAAGTTTTATTTACTCCTTTTCTATGTCTATCGAAATTATGTTTATCCTTAAATCAATTTTGTATTTCTTTGTGAAATCCTAGCATTTTATCGAAAGTAATTAGTATTAATACTTTTTAACATACTTGGTTTAACTCTATCTATTTTTTTTATTTATCCAACTACAGCTTTTTCATTCTCAACCTCGCAATTAGCTTCTTATTATAATGTTAGAAAATCTACTAATATTCTATTAGATCTCAAGGATTCCAAATTTCTTAACCTTATAGCAGATTAAGGATGTTATCCACTTGGCAAATCTAAATCACCTATAGAAAACTTAAACTTCGATCCTTAACCTGGTAAACTTTCTATTTTAAATGGACAAGATCCATTTAATTAATATATCAATTTTGTTGTTATCTTCAAACTTATCCCTAATACTTCGTTTTTCTGATTTGAATTTTATTAACTTTTCCCTTTATCTACTGATTAAGTTAACAATTAACTTTACTATTATAATTTTTAATCTTACATACCTTTCTTGATCTCATTTATTATTGATATTGATGTATTTACATTTACTTAGCTATTTCTTCTTAAGCTTATTAACTTAATCCTACACCACTATCAGAAACAATAAATTAAATTTATCTTGAATTCCCACTTCTCACTTCTTCAATATCCAATTCTATGAATCCTCCTTAAGGTGTATATCTATATGCATTATTTAATAAATTCACTAGAATTCTCATTAACTTATTCAGATCTGATTATACAAAACAAATTCTATTATAAATCTATTCAATAATACATATCTTTCTTTTACTCTTAAATTTAATCAAAATCTTCATTATTGTAAATGATTCTAAATGATATATTCTTCTAACTACATTAAGTTATAATTAAATCCTTTATTTCTGCTATTAATTTCATTATGTTTATGTTTTTTACATCCAAATTTTGTCTCTAATATGAATAATATGAAACATAATCTAAAATGTCTTAAATTGTATATAGCAATATCTTTGAGTTCCAATAACAAGGTTTTATATATGTATCTATAAATTATTTCGTCAACTTTTCATCATTTATACAGGTTTCTAAATATGTAATAACTGTATGCAAAGGAGTTTTTAATTTGTGGCTAAATGAGCTTATTAGATTATTTCTAAACTTTTAATCTTTTTTAAAATCTCCATAATTTTCGTTTATTAACTAAAAATTACAATTAATATACTTAAAAAGAAAATATAAACTAAGTTTAATTTTTCTAATTCATTAATGAAAATTTTAAATAATATCTTAATTTTTCCTAATTAGATCCAAATGTTTTAAATTTATAATAGTTATATTCAATATCATTAGTTTGAACATTTTCAATTATTTATTTTAAAGAAAAGGTTTTTTTAACAATATTTTCATTAAGACAATAACCACTTACTTTAATATCATCTAAAAAGGATATATTATCAGTTTATTTTTGAGTTAATAATTTAAGATTTACTATATTTTAAGATTCTGATCGATTAGGATTGTAAGTAACATTTTCAGTTTAATTTTGGGATTCTAAAATAGATTCGATTTTATCCATATATTAAGTTTTATAGATTAATTTATAGCTTTGATCATAAACTAAAACTCCTATATTTAAATTATTAATTATTCCATTTAAATAATCTAATTAATTGCCTATTTACTCTTAATTATTAATTGATTGATTTTATAATGATATGTTCGATAATTAGATTTAAAATTCATTGAGTAAAGCAATTATCAAAAATAAGATTTAAAATAGGAATGAGATAGAATGGGAATTTTGATTTTGATTTTTTTCCTAATTAATTTGATAAACAATATGTATGAACAAAATAAATGGAAGTATAATTTTAATATGTTGCTATTTAAAAGTTCCTTAAAATAGATGAAAAAATATGAGTAAATAAATAATCCCAAAATAATCAGAAGGCTGTATATAAATTGTTTAATATAAGCACTTGGAAATGAAATAACAAAAGAATAGTAAATCTAATAAAAAAGTTTAGTTTCTCCTTCTTTTTTTAAATAAAAAATAAAAACAGAGATACAAAGCTAATATAAGACTAATGATTTACTTAAAAGTATAATATACATGGAGAAATTAATCCAAATAGCTTATTTTGTATGAAACTCTTGCTTAAAAGTCTCAATCATAAAAAATAAGAGATCAGTAGTGCATGTGAGTAGTAGAACAAGATATCTAAAATCAATTATATTTTAGTCTCTAAACATTATTAATATTTTTCTTTATAATATAAATAATGCAACATAAATAGATTAAAGCAACTACCTCATAAAATTTAAGATAAAAGTTGGGTATGAAAGACTCTTTAACTAATATTAATTAAATCTACAGCCAACCCCATTCATCAAAAGGAGCTGAAAATAGAAAAAAGGAAGTAAATTCTTATTTATTTAGAATGTGTAAGATTGCATTACAATGAAGAAAAAATTATTTTACATGTTAGGATAAAATTATAATTCTAGCAAAGCATTTTCCATTTCCCCTACTAATTCACTTAAACAGAATTATTTTGTATCTACATCTACATCTACACAATAAAAATAGAAATAGATTTTATAAAAATAGAACAACACACTTGATTGTCATACTTCAATTGTTTAAAATCTATAAGCGAATTTAGCTAAGAATGTAGAATCATAACATTCAATAAAACAATTTGATAAATATACTTCTTTTTTGGAGAATTAAACTTTTGAAAATCAGAATACTTCAGTTAATCCAATAAAATAAGTTGGTATTGCTAAACCTAATTCTACTCAATCTAGAAATCATAAAACTGACAGAAGTTCATTAATTGCATTATTTGAAAAATTACATCAAAAAGATAGTTCTAAAAAACATCGTAAGTAAACTTCTTAAAATTCTAATTATATTGTTAATATCTAAAAATAATAACCTCCTGAATCATTTTAAAATGAATTAAAGTTCCGATAAAAAATTAAAGGATCATTATCAAATAATTCTTCTGGTTAACTTTGTTCTCATCTTAATCCAAATTCATCTACATAAATTCAACAGAATCAGTAAAATAATATTGAAGATAATTTATAATAATTAGCTGAAAGAATGTAATACATTTTAAATAGCTATCATTAAAAGTTAAAACAAGTAGATTTTGAAAAAGAAGTATTAATTTAAGAAATTCAGTATTGGAAATCTAAATATCAAAAACTCCAATAAAAATCATCAATTTCTTGATTTAAAATCAGATTAAAAATTGATAATATAATCTTTTTATTATGATAATTAAAAAATAAATAAAATTAAAAAGTGATTAAATCATTTTTCTTTTATAAAAAGATATGGCAATATTTAATTATCTTCCATTAAGCAAATCTTTTCTTTATCCTCTTTAAGAGATGCAAATTTACATGATTTATTTGCTTTAAAAAAAATCAGAATAAATTAATACACTTAATGATGATTTTAATGAATAAATTTTTCAATAGCAGTTTTAGGATTTGTCCAAAATATGATTTTCTTACTGAAAGTTCCTTAATAAAAAACTTTCTTTAATTTTTAAACAACATAAAGTTCTGTACATTAAAATTCTTATTTTAAAAAGTTATTCTTATAGTTTTAGTCTACATATGGTTCGAAAAAGAGAAAGTTATAATTTGAAAAATTTTACTCTATAATAATTTTGATTGCTTTAGAAATTTGAGGAAACTATATTTGTTGTATAGAATTTTAAAATTCTGCCAATATAGGAAGATCTTAATTTAGAGATTAATCACTATGTTCATTTTAAAACTAACTATCTGTCATGTTTTATAAACTTTAAGTTATTATCTGTTTATTATTCAGTATTTAATTTTTAAAATTATCATTTTAGTTAATTTTCTCTAATACATTACTTTCATAATAGTTATTTTAATTATTTTCATTCTCTAAAAACTCTAAAAGTGTTTAATCAATATCTTGAATTAAATTTAGTTAAGAATTTTGCTAAATTACTGAGAATTGTACAGATTCTAAATTCAGTAAATCATAATTTTTTATCATTTATGTTGATTCTTAATTTATATATTCTGCTAGATATGAAAAAATAGTAACTAAAATATAAATATTAATTTACGTTTTGATATTTTTTATTTTATTTCTATTTTCCATTTGCTATTTGTATCAAGCAAAGTAAATCCTTATCTTTCTAAATAAACTTTAAATTTTTCTCTATGTTATGTTTTTTAAACTATATTTTTATAAGGTATAAATTATTCTATGTAAAAACTAACATGCAAATTTGTAGCTTATTCATCTGGAATATATATTTTTTATATTAATTAATTTATTTATTAAAAATGCTGTTTATTACCTAAGATTGTTATGTAATAATCTGAGTATTATTATATTTGTGAGATGTATAAATCTTTAATTGAATTAATCTTTTCAAGAAATATTTATCCAACTTGGGGTATTGTTTTTATTTCTATAAAAATCTTAGAACCAATAAGTTTCTGAATATACTAAAAACATTAAATTAGATATTATTCCTAATTAATATAATTTGAATGAATAATACAAAAGGAACTTATTTCCTATTCTTCTCTGAATTCAATTTCTTTTATTTATTAGAATAGTGATTTTAAAAAATCACATAATTTATATTTAAAATAATTTGTTCTTGCTAAAACTAATTAGTAATATTCAATCTTTTCATTTAAATATTTAGAATCAAGACTAATCATATAAATTATTTTTCCTTTGTATTAATTAAACTCTTAAGCATATTTGAGAAATTCGGTATGTCTTGTAATTAAATATAATTTTTTTTAATCTATAATTTTCCAATAGATGAATCTTTTCTTCAATTCTTTTTTTAAAAAATGGCTTAATTCAAAACATGTTAAAGAGTTTTAATCTAAATCTAATATTACTGTTTAAAATTTATTGAAGTATTATTAAAATTATGTCACAATTTCTTTATTCATGCACTATAGTTGATACTTTCCTTATGATATTTTTTAAAATTGTAACTTTTGGTTATTTAAGACCAGATTATTTCTAAAATCTTGATCAAGATTATCAATAATGATTTCATCTAAAAATTTAGGCTAAATAATTAATAAATAAAATTACATTTAAACTTATAGTTTCACTAATTGAAAATTATTGCAATTCAGAACGTACATTAAGAGTCATTACTTATTATTATTCAGATAATTATTAAATATTATTAGGATTAATCAAACTAAGAAATGTGATATCTTTCTTTAGATCTTTTTAATCAATAGAAATTCTAAATTTTTAATGAAATGTTTATAATGTAAGCCTATTGTTATTTTATTCTCGAAAATCACATAAAATTTTTAAAATTTAAACTAAATTAATATTATTTTTACTTAAATGCAAATAATTCAATCCTGTATTGATAACTGTTGAAAATGCTAACTTTTTTGGATCATCTTACTGAAATCCAAATTTTTGTAGTAAAGCTATTATCGAGTCCAAATCAATTTTTTATTAAGTTCCTTTTAGTTTAAATAAATAATTGTCTTTGTCAAGTTCAATTAAAGTTTTCATAAATTTAATTGTAAAATCCTATCTTTCTAAGTGAGATAACAATTTTCTTATATCATCATTAATTCCAAATAATATCAAATTATCATTATTTTTATAGAATAAAATCTTTAATTTTAAAGATTCAATTGAATTCTAAAATAATTTTTCAAATTTTTATTCCAACTCAAAAGTTGATTTTATGGAAAATTATAATAAAAATAGATTTTTTAAAAATCCTCCTACATATTATTTTATTTATTTTTCAACTATTTCTCTATTTTCTTAAATTTATGCAAAATTCATTTCAAAAAAAAAAAAGTTCTCATTTAAATATTAATGAAAACTATATTGCTTAACATCAGTAGCTAAATATTTTTTATAATAAAGATATCTAGAATTTGCCATAATTGGATTGTTTTCAATATAATTTGAGTAAGGTTTTGCATTAGCATAATGGAGTATATAACCTCTATAATTCTCATATATTTATAATAATATATCTTATAGGAATTATTATGACTATTATTTTGAAACAAGATAAAAATTATCACCAATTTATGCAATATAAATTTAATGTAATTATAAAAATATATTCATCTTAGATTATTATTATTTCATAGTATAACATGAATGATAGCAAAATTGAATTTCGATTAATTAAATTTTTTCAATAAAGGTTTAAATCTCTTGGTTTAAAAAATAGAAATCTGTATTTTATTATAATTTATAACTATTCATAGATTGTTTTATCAAATTTAATTATTTAATCAATAGATTCCACTATTCTAAATATAACTGTTCAATAATTTATAGAATAAAGTTATTTTTTAATTAAATAGTAAAAGTTTTATCATGATATTTAATTTTTATTTTGTCATCATATTCAATGATACTTGAGTCTAACGTTGAATTCAAAATTAAACTATTTAAAGAGAATTGAAAAGATGAATCAAAATTGCTCTAATCTATCTCTGAAATTATGGATATTAAATCTTATTGTTATTAATTAAGTTAATGTGTATAATTATCTTCATGATTATTTATAGAAACTTTCTATTGAATTTATACTTTTTAAGAATCATTATCTCCTTAAAAACTTTATATACCTAAAGACTTTTATAAAGATTATTCTGTTTTAGAATTACGTAAACTTTGATCTGAATTTATTTAAGTTGATGAATTTTTTAAGGCAAACTCACTTTATTCTTTCTACTAAGATTTATTTTGATATTATTAATTAGTTTAGAATTTAGGTTTAAGTTTAACTTTAAAATTAGGAAACATTTCTTTTAAATTATCAAATGCTGTCTTAAATTTTAGAAATTTTTCTTATTATTTTTCATCTTTAAACGAAAATTGTTATCCATCACTTTAAAATTCTAAACTAAGGAAAATAAATAGTTATTTATAGGTGTTTTAATCTTAAAATTCAAAAATTCTTGAATCTATTTGAAAGCTCATTATAAATATTTAATTAAAAAAAATAAAATTAATAAATATCATTTATCAAAACAATTATGCCCACACCCTAAAGGGCATTAAGTATTATTTTTAAACCAATTTTTCATTTCTTTCATGTGACCACCATGCATACAATTTTAGCACCATAAATAAAGACCTTTTACAGGTTTAAAACTATAATATAATATTATAATTATTATACCAAATTGCACAAATAAAATCTATTTTACAAATATTACAAAATGCACCTGTTGTTTAATTATTTTTACATTGTCCAAGACATTTATAATTTGTAACATATTTATTACTTGCTCTAAATTATTCAACTGGGCTTTCTAATGCAGCTTTCATAGCTAATGTATGTTTTCCAAAGGCAACTAATAAATCAATATAAGATTAAGTCCATTTTCTGGCATAAAAATCAGGAAATTGTACATAGTTTTTTGAACATGCTAACATCCAAAATCCACTTGAAAGTTCTCCTTAATCTATAACATGTTAAATTAATTAAAGAATAGAATTTGAAATAACTTAACTAATTAAATTGATAATAATATTATTACATCATTTATTATTTATCTGTCAACAAATATCCCATAGGAGTCATTGTTCTTAATAAATTCTTATAGTAAGGAATTCTTTCTATATGAATTTTCAAATGATTTTAATCTTCAATTATAATATTTTTGCTATCTAATTCTTATCTAAATGCTGCAGGATATTTTTCAAAATATTTATAAAGTTTTTATAGATCTTGAGAATCTAATTATTTTTTTTCATGTTATTTATTATTTTTTGTAACTTGTGTTGTTTATTCTAAAGGAGATTTTTAATCATCATCAGATTAATCATTAGTTTTATTTGGTATTTAGACAGGACAATCTTGTATAATACTATTTGAGCTAATATCTTTTGATAATTTTTTAAGATCATTAATAAGATGTTCTAAGGCTTTCCAATAATGTGCTATTTCTTGTTTATCAATTTGTAATGCTATATTACTATTAAATGAAAAATCTTTTTTTGAATTATAATTCTTTTAAAAATATTTTAATTCTTCTTCAAAAGGGATTTTTGGATCAAATTTTTAATCAATAGCTTCTATATAAAATATGGATCTAATATTTGTTTTTTGAGTTTATTAATTTTAAGGAACTGATGTTGCTTTTAGAATGTCTTACATAGAATTTTGAAGTAAATTATTTTGTGAAGTATTTTATGTCTTAGCCTTTGAAATATAAAATTCATCATTAGATGATTACTTTTATATAGGTTATATATTCATGACAAAATGATTGGACTTTTCCAATTCTTAGTGAGAAGAATATGGAGATTCTAATTTCATTAGTATATCATTATATTAATTAAATGCAACTGGAAATATAGGACAATTGTTATATACTTAATATGCTTATCGAACAGATTACATTTTTAAATATTTATCTTTAGATCCAGTAAAGATATATTATTCATCTTAATTAAAAACAAAGGAAGTAATTATATCATTATGGCCTTTAACAATATGCATAGGACGAAAAGGTGTTCGTATATCATATGTAGTAACTGATATATCTCTATTAAGAGAAGATACGCTTAAAAGTGAATTGTTTTATACATGCCATTTAATGTGAGAAGATCCATCAATATGTTAAATGACTCCGTTTTCTCTTATTTCTGAATGATTCTCTACTTATAAGATTTTAATTTCTTTATCATTAGATCCACTGGCCAAAACGTTATCTTTTGTCCAATCTAAACAAATAATTAAATTTGTTTTTGGGTCTTGTTTTCTACCTTTTAAATTAATTTCAGTTACTATATCTTATTATTTTCTTATGTCAAAATATTCTAACTAACCTGTATCTGATGCTGCCATAAAGTAATTATCTCTATTTATATTAAATTTAATATCACGAATAGCTTCATTTCTTTATAATGTAAATATTGGTTATGCAGTTGATTAACGATAATCATAATAATTAATTGTATAGTCTTGCCCACCACTTATAAAACAATTCTCATTATGCCAATTCATTCTATGTATTGCTGCTTAATGATTTCTATATACTGTTTCTTTTTATTTATCAATATCCCAAACTTAAAACTACCCCTAAACTGATGCTGCCAACAATAGAGTTGGTTTTCTTCTATTGAATTCAACATAACCTATTGCTAATTTTGTACCTTGTCTCCTCAAATTTTATTTTATATTCATCTTTTTATTCACTTAATCTAAATCTATTATTTTTAATATCTCCCTCCCTCCTACAACCAAATTCTTACCTGATGAATCTATATCTATTGATGATATGCTTGTTTGTAAATCTAATTCTTAATCCATATTTATTTTTAATATATTATTTAATATGTAATTATAAGCCAAAATAACACCAAGAACAGATTGCTATGTTAGTCTTCCAAGAATTTTTTAATAATTCACAACTCAATCCTTCTCTTAAGGAAATCTATGTTAAGTCATAAAAGCGTAATTATTTCTTACCTATTTAAGTGAATTAATGAAAACCCAATCAATTGTTTATTTTGGTTGTCAAGGTATTTCAGAAGATAATCACATTGAAATTGGTTTTCAATTTGCTTAACTTTTAAATATTGAAGATGATGATTATTTACAAATAACAACAAGTAATTATCTTTTAAGAATAAATTTTAGTCTCAAATTGCAATCAATCTAATGCCTTAACAATTTATGTTTAAAAATGGTCAGATTACATGATAGTTCAACATTAAAAGGATTAATTTGAATTAAGTCTCCTAAACAATATATAAATTGTTTATAATGAATTACTTTTTCCAATATTTTATTAAGAAGGACAATTTGTTACTTTTACATTTAAAGCTAAAGAATACAATGGTCCTATAGCTATAAGTCCTAATTGTGAACTTAACATTCTAATTGAAGAATCATAAAAACCAGAACAAAAATTAGATTTAATTGAATTAATAGTATTACTTTCTGATTAAGATAATTTTGAATCTTTTATTGAAATAAATACTGAACTTTATCATAATAATAGATTAGAAAAATTATATTAGATAACATATTCATCATCTTTTCCTAAATCATATAGAAATTTTCCTAAATATGCCAAAAATTAAAAAAAAAACAAATAAAAATAAAATATTCCTAAAACTGCAATTGTTTAGTTTAAGTAGAATAACTAAATAAATACTAAATATTGTTTTATTTCTAAATTTTATGCCAAATATTTAGGAATAAGAGAAGGATAAGTTATTTTAATTAATACATAAGAACATGATATTAATAAGGAAGCAACAGTTAGAACTATTAAAAGAAATTAACTTATCTTTTAAAAAATTTATTTCAATTTCTATACAGATTTACCTTTAAATAAAGAAACTTAAATCAAATTAATATTAGAAAAGATAGAAAGAAATTAGTAAACTGTTTTATAAAGTAATTATTAATTAAAATATAAGGCAGAGTTCATTTGTATTAAGATCACCTCTATTTTTTGAGAATTTTTTAGTTAATTGGTAATCAACCTGAGCATTTCTTATAAACTTTATCAATTATAAATGAACACAATGAACCTAAGGTAATTGGAGAGAGAGAAAAAGGATTGCTAATTAAATACTTAGATGAACATATAAGAATACATGGATTTACAAGTCCTATTTAAAAAGAAATTAAATTTACCTAATATTCAGGTATGAGAAAAAAAAAAGTTTAAAAATAAGATTACAAATTATTTTTATAATTATTTGATGGTTCAATCAAATAAATACAAACTATTTTAGAATAATAATCTAATTCTTAAGGTTTGATAATTTGTAAAGAGAGTTAGGCTATTTAAGTTTTAGTTTCTTATTTATAAACTAAATTTGATGTAATAAAATTAAATTTAGATAAATTAAATCAGCATGGGTAAAATGAAAAACTTTAAAATGGTAATATTATAATTTATAAATAGTTAAAAAATTTATTAAACATATTTTTTGGTAATCAAGATAAGTTTCACTTAATGATATACTTATAATTATAAAAGGTGTAGAATCTATTAAAAGTATTGAATTGATTGATTTTTAATAATCATTTTAAATATTAATTTCAAATGTAAAATTATTGTAATTAATTTAGATTTTAAGTAAAACAATTAGAAATTAAGTTATGGAATATCCATTAGTAAAATTACTAATAATTTCCCCATCTAAAGATTATTTAAATGAAATACTCTAAAGTATTATTTATATAAATTTTAGAAAATTTTTCAAAGGAATAAATTATCTAATTTAATAAACCAAAATTAGAACTTCGTTAAAGAATTTTTGAAAAATGTTATTAATCTTAAGAGATTAATAGATTGGCTGAATAATTGGCATAAAAATCAGAAAACTTTAATTATACATAATTTAATGCTTTATAAAATAGAGAAAAATATTAAGAAGAATTAAATTAATAAATAACAGAAGAATGGATATTATAATAAATAAATGATTTATAGGATTAATAAGTATAGTTAAATAAGAAAATACCAACTTTTAAAGAAATAGGAGGTCTTAAAGAATAGAAGTAAATAATTTTAGATTTATTTGATTTACCAATGAAATATGAACATTTGTTTGCAAAATCTAAAATAAAGCTTCCAAAAAGTGTTTTAATATATGGGATGCCAGGTTGTGGAAAGACTTATTTTAGTTTGAGTATTTGTAATGAATTAAATATAAATGTATTAACAATAAAAGGTCCTGAATTACTAGATAAATATATAGGTAATATTTAATAAATAAATAAAGGTTCATCTGAATAGAATGTTAGAGATCTATTTTAAAAGGCTTAATAATTATCTCCATGCATAATATTTTTAGATGAGATAGATTCTGTAGTACCAGTAAGAACATCTTCTCATTCAGGAGTGACAGATAGAGTAGTCAATTAATTTTTGTGTTATTTAGATGGAGTTGAAGAAGGGATGAAGGGAGTATATATAGTAGCTGCTTCAAGTAGACCTGATTTAATAGATCCTGCTATTTTAAGACCAGGAAGAATAGACAAACATGTTAGAATAAATTTACCTAATAAAGATGAAATTATTGAAATCTTGAAAATTTACAAAGGACCATTAGAATTTGATGGAATTTCAGAATTAGAAATAGCTGATTCATTGTTTGGGTTATCATAAGCTGATGTTGTTTCATTCTTCAAAGAAGCCAGAATTTATTTAACTGATAGAATTGTTTAATTAGAAGATTTTAGTCTTAAAAAAAAAGTTTAAAAGATTTAAGATTTTAAATTAACTAAAGAATTGTTTTAAGAAATTATGAAAAGTTTGAAACCAAGTTTAAGCTAAAAATAAATACTCTTTTATCAAGATGTTTATAATAGATTTGAAAAAGGAGGTATTAAAGATATGAAAAATCAAAAACAAGCTTTGTAGTGATGATTATGATATATTTTATAATATTTGTATCATTAAATTGTTTTGTAATTATTTATTCTTTTAGCTACTTCAATATAGTAGGAATTATTTGAACTTAATAATTAAACAAATATACTAAAAGCAGATTAGTACAATTTAAATTCTTTTTCATAATCCAGTTTATGAAGTAAAATTCCAAATTATTTTTATCCTGATTTTGTAGAATCAAAATATAAAGTACTTAAATAACAATTACTATTTTCTAAATTTCCAAAAGTATCGTATTATTAACCTCTTTATACTACATTATAAACTAATCTTTAATTTAAAATGAATTTGCTCATTAAATTTTGAAATATTTAATATGCTTAAGATGAGAGATATTTAAATTATTCATTTTACATTCCATCTAAAAGTTTAGTATACTCATATGAATTAGATTAAGTAAAAAATTTGGCCATAATACTAGATACTCTTCCATCTAATAAATCTAAGTGAGCATTCTCTAACCAAATATATGATAAATCAGTTTGTGATTTTAATTAATTATGGATGAAATTCTAAAGTTAAGTAAATTATAAATATGTTTAATTTTCGATTCTTTCTATATATTCTTAATGGCTTTGATTATTAATGTTTATAAATGCTAAATAAGATGAAGCATGCCAAACTTAGCTTGTTTATTCAATATTTAAATTTTATAATGTTAAATCTATAGAATCTCTACCTAAATAAGTTTAGAGAAATTCTGCTATACAAATAGAATTAAACTATATAAGTCCTTCAGCTATTAATTAAAGAGTGATTTATTGTTTATTAATTAAACTATTTAAGAATTTTCCATGATTATAATCAAAATGTTTAATATAATATAAATTTAAATTATCCAATTAAACTTGCGTTTAAGGATTAATTAAATTTATTGATACTTATCTAGAATATTCAACAAGTATAGCAATTTTATTATAAGATTGAATTGGAACTTAAATTATAGGGTAAGTATTAGCTAATAATTATCTATCTAAAAACATGGTAATCTAAAATTTGTTTAAGTTCTCTTCATAAAATTATATTATTGATTTATTAGAATATGGATTAATATGAAAGTGATTTAACTTTTTATTTGAATCGTAGGCCCAATTCATTATTCCTGCACCTAATGATTTTTTAAAAGAAATTAAGTAGAAATTTTAAATATTATCAATAGTTGCATTTGTTGAGTGAACTATTTCTCCATGATTTTAATAGATAATTGCAATACTATTATTGAATTGTTCAAATGTAGTATCTTAAATTGCTAATTAGGAAAATTAGTCATAGATCGCTTTAAAATTTCCTTTCTTAGAAATGTATATTACCTGTATTGTATAAAAATGTTAAATCATCAAATTAAGATGAATGTTTCGAAATTACTAGAATCAATAAAGTTAGAATGATTAATGAATGATGAGTCATTATAAAATTTTAATTATAATTATTTATGATAATAGTTTTTTATTTGTTATATATTCTTTCAAATTGCTAAAGAGCATTTGAAATAATAAATCATCAGGAAATATTTGAATACATATTACGTATGAATGAATTAAGAAGTAAAAGATACACAAGTTAAATATAACTGTTGTATGATGAATAAATATATGAATTGTATGAAGAAAATTTAGAAAATTAAATAAAAAGAAATAAAGAAATAATGGAAAAGGCGTTTTTAATGATTGAGAAGTATTATTTGCCAAAGAAAACATGTTTGGAAGGTATATTGGATTCAATATTAATAATGGAGCCTTTATTTCATTAGATTTAATATGATAAAGAGACTTTGAATACATACTTTTATTCAGTTGATTAATTAAATTTTAGATCAAGTTGTTATTAAGTATTATAAACAATAACAGATTAAGATGTAGAATTAAAGAGTAGAGATGAAATAGAAAAGATGGAATTATTTTAAGAATTTTATGATAGATTTTATTAAAATGATTTCACTTAGAGTAAGATGTATATAGAATCAAGAGCAATGGATTTTAGAAAGAAGTTAGAAGAGTTTACTGAATTATTTATAGATGATTCTCAAAAGATTTTAGATGTCACAAAATAGCTAATGTTAAAAGCTAAATAATCATTTAATAATTTAAAATAATTAATATAACCTGAAACAGATTAAGCAATATGTATTAAAATAATATTTTAATTAAGATTCTTACAATTTATAAAAATAAAGATATGATTTATTAAGGGAGAAAGAAGTATTTTTAAAATAGTAGATTTTATATAATGACGAAGCTTTTTAAATAGAATAGACTTAGCATATATAATTGAGAGATAGTGTAGATAAATTAATAATAGAATAAGAGGTTGGGTAATTATTGATAAAAAGAATAAATTAGAGTTGTTATATAAAGAAATGAGCGATGAAAATAGATAGAATGTCTTAAATATGATGAAAGTTTAAAATTGGGATATAATGAAAATACAAGAAGAAGAAGAATTTAGAAAACAATCTCAAAGATTTAATCCAGGAAAAAGAAATGATTATGATTTATGATATATTAAATATTAAATATTAGTAATTAAAATTCATCATATCAACAAGTTTAAAAAAGTAGAGGTAATATAAAATATGTCTTTTAATGATCAAAAATTATTGATAATTTTTATTTCAATTTATTTTCATTATTAAGAACAAACAGCAAAAAGAATGTTAAATGAACTTCAAAAAGAATTAGATTATATTAAAGGAAAATTAAAAAAAAGCACAATATTGTATAAAGATCAACAATCTTTTGATGATTTGAAGTATATTTTTAGGTAGAAAATTATTGTTAAGACTCGTCCTTCGATTTTAACAGAAAAAATTTTAAGCTTTTTCACAATATTGAATTTGAAATCTCAATAGCTAGAAAATTTCGATATAATATTATAAACTAAATCTTTTTCAAGAAATTACTACGATTGATAGAAGAAAAATAAGTTTAATCATCCATACTATTTGCATACCAAATATTTATATATTTTCGAATAATTGTGTGATTATAACAGTAGCCACTATATAAAAAAATGTATTTTCCATACCATTTTTAATTATCTTCTAAATTAGATAAATCATTAAGAATTAGTAAAATTATAACGATCTATTGATAAACTAGAAAAATTCTTGGTTAATTATAATTTATTGAAATAATAAATAATATCTATTTGAAAAACTTTTACAAATAAATTTTTGATTATTTTTATAGGCTTATGATTTTAAAAGAATAATTGGAAGATTTTAAGAATTTTGATTATTGAACATAAATTCTATTTATTTGATAATATTAAGTAAATTTAGCCATCATTATGGTAATTTAACACATAGAAGGCATATTAAAAAATAAAATGCTGGGATCTCCTAAGATAAATCTAAAAGTATCAATAATGAAGCTAATAATATGAAAGCAGGAGAGACCAAACATTAATTACAAAAGTATATTAAGTAAATTAGAACCTTCTGAAAAGAACCTAGATTTCAATTTGTTAGATTATTTCTTGCGGTATTTAATCTTATTATTAATTTTAATAATTGAATATTTAATTTTTTCGTAAAATTTTAGATTTTTTAAAAAAATTTTTGTAATTTTGAGTTTAGTTTATGTGATTTTCTAATTTTCATTATGGTTGATTAAAATTTTTATTATTTTTCCATTTGATAATTTGTAATAATTTTATTGATTTAGATTCATTTATATTATTTGAGTTTCAAAAAAGCATGTTAAATTCTTTCAATTTTTGCTGAAATTTTTAAATTCTTTTTAACAATAGATTTTGAAATTATGTTAACAATATATTCTTTTTATTTTTTGTATAATAAAATTTATAAATTACCTTTGACTTCTACATTTAACATCTAAATATAGTAATTATTCTTTAGTTTATGTTCAAATCGTTAACAAAGAAAATAATTATTTAATGTAATAAATTATCTACAAACAGATATAATTGATAATAATAATAAATAAATAATATATTTTTAGTTTAATAAATAATAAATAGTTATATTCATGGGTTGTTGTTAAGGACATTAGAATGGTTAAAAAATATAATATTTTAGATATGAATTAATTAACAGAATTAGCTAAGGAATTGACAGAATATCAGTAACCTGAATACATGGCAGATATTTTAGATTTGAAAATATAAAATAAATTAAAAGAACGATTGGATGAATAAGAGAAAGATGTTGAGCAAACTCCAAAGAAAGAGACTAATTATTCTCAGGATATGAAGAGTGGAAAAAAAGAAAATAACTAAGATTCTTAATAATAAAATAAGTAATAAGGATAAGAAAAATAATGGACAATAAAATAAACTATGTTTGTGAGAATTAATTCAAAAAAAAATGTAAGTGAATTCTACACAGTGAAAGATATGATTGGATAAGGAGGATTTGGAAAAGTATATAAAGTAGTTCATAGATAAACTGGTTTTAATATTTCTTATTACTAGGTATGGTAAGAGCTATGAAGTTAATTTTGAAATCTAAATTAAAAAAAGAAGACTAAGAAAAACTATTAGAAGAAACAAATATTCTGATGGATATCGATCATCCAAATATTGTTAAATTATATGAAATGTATTAAGATGATAATTCATATTATTTAATCAGTGAATATTGCGATGGTAATACTATTAAAAAATCTTCTATGAAGGTGGTGAATTATTTGAAAAAATCAAATTTGTTCAAATTTTAACAGAAAAAGAAATAGCAAGTTACATGAAATAAATATTGACAGCAGTTGCATATTGTCATTCAAAAGGTATTGTACATAGAGATTTAAAACCTGAGAATATATTGTTTGATTCTAAGAATCCAGGTGCATCATTAAAAATAATTGATTTTGGAGCAAGTGCTAAATTAGTTAATGATGAAAAACTATAAAAAAGAATAGGAACTGTATTTTCTATTATAATTTTAGCCATTTTATGTAGCACCTGAAGTATTAAATGGAAGTTATGATGAAAAATGTGATATATGGTCTTTAGGTGTTATTTTATATGTATTATTATGTGGATATCCTCCTTTCTTTGGACATAGTGAAGGAGAAGTTTTAAATAAAGTTAGAAAAGGAACTTATTAATTTGATAGTAATGATTGGTCTAGAGTATCTATGCAAGCAAAAGATTTAATTAGAAGAATGTTATTCTATGATCCATCTAATCGTATTAGTGCATCTGAAGCTTAATAACATAGTTGGATATCAAATAATAAAGCAAAAGGATTAGTTAATAATATTAGTTTAAAAAGATTATAAGATTTTGATTCCAAAAATAAACTTAAATATGCTATTTTATAGTTTATTACAGTTTAAGTTGTCTAAAGTTAAGAAAAAGAAGATCTATTAAAAACATTTTAAGATATTGATAAAAATGGTGATGGAACTGTTAGTAAAGAAGAATTATACGCTGGTATAATAATTATTTAATTTTTAGCATACATGAAATTATATAAAGGAGATTCTATTGCAGCATAATAAGTTGTTGAAGAATTGTTTCCATAACTTGATGCTAATAAATCTGGAAAAGTTGATTTTAGTGAATTTGTTACTGCTTCAATTAACAGAGATAAATCTTTAAGTAAAAAAAAAATTGAACAGGCTTTTAAATTGTTTGATTTAGATGGAAATGGTTATATCACTAAATAAGAAATTAATGAATTATTTGGAAATGAAATTGATGAAAATATGTGGTAAGATATTCTTCATGATTGTGATTTAAATAAAGATGGAATGGTAATCATATTATTTCTATATAGATTTCTATGAATGAATTTGTTAATCTCTTAGAAACCAAAATTAAAAGAAACTCATGAGTTCCATGAATTACTAATTTTGTTAACCATGTATATTATACATGGCTAATTAATATTTATACTTAAATCATACATATAAATTATTAATTTAATTGTATTTCAAAATAAATTATATTTAATTAAAAAATTTATATAAAAAAGTTGCGTCTATCGGGACTCGAACCCGACCTAAATGCTTGGAAGGCATTCGTACGAACCTCTATACTATAGACGCTGGACTGAGAATTAAAATTAGATATTGTATATCAACATCTCTACATTTAGATTACAATACTATTCCAATCAAAAATATTATCCTCTTTATTTTAAATATTAATAATAAATTATATTAGAAGTTATTAAAAATATATATATATGTACTCATTTTTTATTATTTCTAAAACTATTTACTTATTTTTGGCTGGATAATTTTCTTATTTATGGATTTTCTTTTAATGGTTGTTCCTTCAAAATTTAAACTTTACTAAATTTATAAATATTTAGAATATTTACTCATTTATTTTAACTTATTAATTCACTCTTTTAATTGCCGACTCTAAATAATCATTTGATGTAGACATAGCTAATTTTTTTATTATTCTTTAATTTTAATCAATAATTTTTCTTTTTTCATCTAATTTTTAAAACTTTTTATCATAACCTATTTTCATCTTTTAATTTATTTATATTGTTTACTTAAGTCATTACATCTTTTTCTTTTTACAATTATTCTATTCTATTACCTTAATGCTATTATTTATTCTTAAGATCAAAATGAAGTCTTTTAAGAATTAGCAATTCAGTTTCTTACACTACCAACTTTGCTTATAATTCTGCTATTATTTAAAGTTATTCATTTTCTAATTCTGTTTAAGGAGGGGAATTTTATTTCAATTTCTCATAAATTTCATCATAAGTGGCTTTTAAAGAAGGTTTTTCTTTAAAATATTCTTCATATAACTATTCTTCATCAGATGAACTTCCATTGTCTGAAACATCAAGATTCTCATTTAAATTAATAGGCTCTTCTTCTTTGATTTAAGATGGGACTACTTCAATTTTATCCTACTTTTCATTTATTTGTTATTAAACAAAATCCAAAAAGTTCATAAATTATATAAAATTTTCAATCAATTAAGATAATTTTGAGAATGTTTTTGTTACCATGAATAAAATCTCCTTTTATTATAATATTATTTACTAAATCCTTGATTCTACTTTCTTTAAATCTAATTACTAAATTTATATTTGCTTACAATTACGAATAACAATAATTGATATTAATAAAAATTAGAATTTATTTGACCTCAAATGAATCATATGCTATATTCCGTTAAAAGTTTTCATTTTCTGACAAACATACTAATAAATTACGATCATGGGATTATTCCAGCTTGCATAAAAAAAATAGAATCAGATCTTGGAATTAATGATTTATAAGTAGATAATAAAATTTTAATGATTTACTTAGCTTGGTTTATTGAGTTCATCCGTTTATGCAGGAATTATAATAGGATCAATAAAAGGAGCAGGATTTTATGAAAAATATAAGACGAAATAAATTCTCACATTATGCTTATTATTCTACATATTGAGTTTATCATTATTTCTCCTTACAAAGAATATTATGCTCTTATATTTTTCAAGATTTTTAACTGGACTATTTTAAGTATGCTTCATTAATTTAATTGGAATTTTTAGTAATTTATTTTCCTGTGTGGATTGATATCTATGGAGGATAGTAAAAAAATTAACAGTTGATATAAATGTAACTAGGAGTCCCTTTAGGAACAATGTTAGGATATTTTGTAAGCTCTTTATCTCTATAGATTTTATTAGATGTATAGATATATATTTAAAAATATATTTTAGTGGAAATATGCATTTATTATTTAGATTGTTGCTTTAACATCTTGCTTTATATTTTATATATTTTGTGATAATGATTAAATATCAATACAAAATATTAAAGAGAAAGAGGATATCTCAAGCATTTAAACAATATTTCTTTAAAATATTAAAACATTTTGTTTAAATCCTCTTTTTGTATTATCCATGTTAACTTTAAGTTCACTATATTTAGTAGTGACTGGAATACAATTTTGGTTAACTGATTATCTCAATAGTGTAATGATGATGGAATATGATCTTGTATATCAATCATTTTTAATAATCTCAATAACTGCTCCATTAAGTGGTGTATATTTAGGTAGTATGATTATAGATAATCATTTGGGAAATTAAGGTTTTAGAGTTTTAAAAATAGCAACAATTGAAATATTTTTAGCAAGTATCTCAGGAGTTTTAATACCAATATTTGATAATTAACGGATTATTATATTGTTGGTTTGGTGCTTACTTTTTTTTGGAAGTAGTGCTATTCCCTCAATGATGGGAATTATGATAACTTCATTATCTTAAGAAGAAAGATCAAGTGGAAATTCATTAAGTCATTTATTTTTCAATCTTTTTGGATATCTTCCAGCATCAAGTCTTTATGGATATGTATCATAAGTTTATGGAAGTTCTAATTCTCGATTGGGAATGATTATGTTTGCATGTATTAATTTCTTGGCCTTAATCTTTTTGTTGCTGGGAATTTATAAAAAATATAATCATTTGAAATAAATCTATCTAGATTTAAATGAATCAGAATTCAGAAATAAATTGCATTCACTTTCACATCATTCTCATGATTATAATGAAGAATATCAAAAAAAAGATTTCTCATACATGAAAATGTAATCAGATAATCAAAAAAAAAAATAAAAATAAATCATCTTTGCACTTTAAACTAATTAATTAGAAGCAGATTAATTATCAGAAAATGAATCCCCTTTGATAATTGGTATTGAAACATAAAGAATAAGAAATGTATATAGCATTTAAAGTACTATTTTATAAATTTCTTATAATTTTTCAAGTCTCATTGGAAGAAGAAATCTAGAATGTGATCTGTTTATGATTAAAACTGATTAAATGAGGAACAAAAGTTAAAAGTCTTTTGAGCTATAACTTAAAGTAGCAAATCATTTTAAATGTGAAGAGAGGTTTGTAAATTTATAATAGTAATGATTTATTTTTATTAATATTAAAAAATAATAAAAATTTAATGAGTTTAGAAGTTAAAAATGCCCATAGATAAGCATTTAAAGAAATCTTTTCAATGAAAGCAGTTGAAGGAAAATTAGATAAAAAAGGATTGGCTGATCTTTTCATAATGATTGATTATAAAGTAATCTTATTTTAATAATAATTTTAGATTCCTTAAGAGTAATTTGATGAAATGGTTCAAAGGATATTTGGAAAAAAAGAATAAATTGGATTTGAAGAATTTTTAAAAATTTTTAATTTAAAACTGACAGATTATACTTTTAATGATGTTAGAAATGCCTTTAAATTATTAGCAAAAGATGATGATAGGTAGACTAAAATATTATTTAGATATATTCCATTAGAGAAAATTAAAAAGGTTTTATTAAAGAATAATGTACCTGCTGAAGAGGTAGAATTTTTATGTCATTAATTGGATCCATTTACTGACACAATGAAAAGAGTCAATTATGCTGAGTTCTTGAAGAGTTTGAGCAATGTTTGATCAATATAGATTTAATATATTACTTATATTAAATTATTTAAATAAAATTTAATAATGAACTTTTCCCCACAATTAGGATTTTTAGCCTAAAAATTTTAAGAAAAATAGTAAAATAATAGAATCACAAAATCTGATTTAGAATAAATCCTAGAAATTGCAAATTATAATTAATCTGATATTTAATCTTTAATCTAATAAATAAATGAAGATGAGATAAGTAAAAGTAAATATTTATATAGCCTATAATTAGTTTTTGTCAATTGTTGGAGTTTCAGAAAATAGCCAAAATATCTAATAGCATTAATAAAATAATGGATATGATATGGTTTCTGAATAATAATAATAAAAATTGACATCTGAATAACTTCAAAGTATTTATGATGATTATAAAATTGCTTTAAAAAATTAAGACTTTGAAAAAACAAAGTTAATTCTAAGTATTTAATTTCTTTAATTCTAAGATTAGTATAGAGAAATAGATTTAGTTAATAAAATTGATCCATCTTAAAGATAAATATCAACATATATTGCAGTTTAAGGTCCTGATGATTATATAGCATTATAAACATTAGAGTTACTGTTTGATTTTGGTGCCAACTTAAATTATAAAGATTAATTAGGCCAATCAATTTTATTTTATATTTGCAGGGATGGAAGATTAAGACTTCTTGATTTTATCTTGTCAACTAATACAGTGAATGTAAATGATTAAGATAGATATGGTTAAACACCTTTATTTTATGCAGCTAGAGATAATAGATATGAAATTGTCATAAGGTATTATAATAATTAATCTAGATTAATATAATATGGAATTGATATTAATATGGTAGACAAACTCTCAAGTTAAACTGCCTTATTTTATGCAGCCAATGGAGGACATGTTGAAATATGTAAAGTATTGATTGAGGTATAATTATTATATAAAATAAAAGAATGGATGTAATCCAGGTCATGTTGATTCATCCAAAAAAAATGCATTATTTTTCGCTAGAAAGTATAACAGAAAAGAAGTCATAGATTTATTTAATAATTGTTTTAATAAAAATAAAGATGATATGTCTAAAAATAGTGGGGGAAATGATAATAGCAAAGGTGAAGCACCAAGATCATAATTATAAAAAAAGAAATTCAAAGATTTACCAAAATAATCATATAAATTGATATTCACAGATAACTAAGGAAATTAAAGAGAATTAAATTCTATTGAATTTCAAAAATTTTAATTAGAATACCCAGAAGTAGCTAATTTAATTGTAAATGCTGATGAATTGATTGATGATACAATCATAAACTAAATAAAAGATGATGATACATGGGAAAAAATTGCAAAAAAGGTTTTAGGTATTATTTGGAAATCTAAAGGTGCACACTTATTTCATCAACCTGTAGATCAAAAAAAATATGGAATTAGTGATTATTATGAAATAGTAACGAAACCTATTGATTTTGGAACTATTAAAGTATTTTATACATTGAAAATTAGAATAAACTTAATTCAAATGTTTATAGTTGTTGTCAAGAATTTTATGATGATGTAATGCAAGTTTTTGAGAATTGTATTTTGTACAATGGAGAAACAAGCGAAGTAGGTTAAATTGGATAGAACATAAAATTAGAATTTGAAAATCAATTAGAATTGACATTATTAAAAAAATATTTATGATAATTTATACCATCATAATATTTATCATAATTAATTAATTTTATGAGTTTTGCTAAAAGTACTCCTTATGCCATTTTAGCATTGAGTGGAATCTTAGGAATGGGATATTTAATATATGATTATAAGAAATGTTAAAGGGAAATACTTTAGTTTGAAGCTGATCTAATTCAATTTTAAAAAGATTAAGATCTGAAAAAGGATAACTAAGATTTTTTCTTTGAATAAAAAGAAGTGCCAGTTATTTCTAAAATAAATTCAAACATCTAAACTACAAGATAGACATACTGTATTTGCATTACAGGAGGACCTGGAAGTGGCAGAACAAGTGTAGTAACATTTTTATAAGAAAGACTTAAAGACTTTTAATATAATGTAATTGTAGTACCACTTCTTGATGATTATATATTGGGTTAAGATTAAGAAATTATATAAAAATTAACAAAGTAGGAAAGAAATTAATTTATAATCAAGAAAGTTATTTTAATGCAAAATTTACTTGATTATTCTAAAGAATTAGCAAAATAAGTAAAAGATAAAGATTCTATAATTCTTTGTTAAGGTGGAATATTAGATATATTACCTAACCAAGATGAAACTGATTAATTTTTTTAGGAACTTCAAGAAGAATTTAAACCATTAGCTACTATAAGAGATAAAAATTACGATGCTGTTATACATTTAGTTACTAATGCAGAAGGTCTTTAATAAAACTTTTATTTTGGCAATTCTTTTATTAATAGAGATGTAGAAATTAAAAAAGCCATAGAAGCTGATAAATTAATTTAAAAAATTTGGATGGGTCATCCAAATCACTTTTTAATTGACAATCGAGGATGTACATTCGATAAAAAAATTTAAAGGGTTTATAAGACTGTTTAAAAAATATTAGGAATGGAACAAACAAATATAAGATGGGCTAAATATTCATTAAAATCAAGTATAAAGTTTTATAAATTATAAGTATCTTTACCAAATAATCTTTATTTTACTAAAATAAAAATTACAGATATATTTTTATTAGATAAAAATGTTAAAGATTAAAATGAAATAAATAGAGTTAGAATGAGATAAGTTGAGGGAGGAATTAAATAATATTATTTAATTACAACAAGAAAATTTGAAAAAAAAGAGAATGTTTAATTTTTAAGAAGAATTATTTCTTTTTCATAATTTCATCATATGGTGAATAAAGCTTAAAATGAAATAAAGATCTTAAAAAGAGAAAGATTTTGTTTCACTTATGAAAATTAGTAAAAATCAATATTAATTTAGATTAATGTAAGTAGATTTGTTCGAATCCAAATAATTGGGAATTTTAAGATTAACTTAGAATGATGCAACTTAAATGTATAAATGGCCTCCCTGGATAAGTGTTGATAAAAGAATTGATGGTATACATACTTATTAGAATTAGACAATCCTAAATATGATTCATTTAGTTTGGCTGAACTCAAAAACCCTTGAATATATATTATTAGTAAATTAAAGAAATGCTCCCCATTTTTTGTTTAACATTAATTTTGATTAAAAATATAAATTTCAAGAATTTTCTTCAGTTTCTTCTTCTATTTCATAATCGGGAGGTAAAATTATTCTTACTAAATCATCAATAGAAAGTTTTCCATCATGATCATTATCATGTTATTAAAATAGAACTTCAACTTCTTTTTCTGTGAATCCATAAGTAAAAGTTCTTTTCATATCTTCAATTGAAATAACTAATGAATTAAAAATATAATATTACATCCTTTCCCTTCTTAATCAATCAAATTAAATAATTATTTAACTCTAATCATACTTTATTTTGGAAGTATCCTTCTTCTTTTAGTTGGTTATTTTTCAACTCTAAGAAATTCCATTTCCAAACTCTCTTTAGAACTTTTAGCAAATACTTCATTATATTACTAAATCCATTAATTAATGATTTTCAATTAATCTTATGTAAGAGAAGGATATAATTTCAACATTAATTAATCAAAAGTAACAAAACCTTTTTATTTAGAATCTAAATAATTATATAAGCTTGCAGTCACTCTTTTCATATGTGGTTTGTTTTGAAAAGACTTAGTAAATTCTTTAACTTAAATAACTTGATTTTTATCTGAAAGACTATCAAAATAACTCTTTAATTTAAATATTTCATTTCTAGTTAATGTACAACCTTTAGTAATTATAATATTCTTCATTATTTTAGTTGGAACAATTACTCTTCTAGAAGTACCATCACGTTAAGTAACAAATCTTATTGTAGGTGAATCATATCTTTATATTTTTCTTGAATGATCTCCAATAGCCTTTTCTAGTATTTATAATTCATCAATTTCATCTTCTAAAACTGGAGGCTTTGTCTATGTTGAAATTTTAGGTAAAGAACTATGAGAAGCTGATTATTTAGATCTTATTTAAAGTTATCTCACACTTTTAGTAGTAGCTTTATAACTTTCTTGATATCTTTGATTTAATCTATCATTTAGACTTTTCATAAAGTATTCATTTTTATTAGCTTTTGTAATCATTTCTAACATATCTGCTGCTTCTTATTCTGTATAAGGTTTAAATGATTTAAAAACTTCAAAAGGCTCTTAAACTTTTTATTTTGGTTCATACAATGTAAATAAATCTTTTCCAATATCATTCTCTTTTTCCAACCATTCTATAATTCTAGTATATAAATCTTAAACTTACTCACTTAACTCTAATTAATTATCTACTTGTATATCACTTTTTAAAAACATCAATTTTGCAAACTTCTCTAATTAAACATAAGGAGGCAATTCTGCATTCGTTAATTTACAATAACCTAATATAATTGATTTAATAATTATAAGTAACTCATTTAAACTTATATTTCCATTACAATCTAAATCAAAAACAATATATAAAACTAGTATAATATCATTTATTTACAATGTATTTTATGAATATGTTAAGTATATGAACATATTGTTAATACACAAATAAGTTCATAAATTGATAAAAGTTTTGATTTTCTGCAAAAATTATCAAATATATATCCTGCATTTGGACGAGAAAATGGAACTATTTTACAAAATAAACTCTTATCAATAAATGGAAGTGAAGTTCTTCTTTAAAATTATTCATAAACAGCTCTTATTTCAGATAATGACCCTATATTTATTAAAATAAATACAAAATAGTAGCTATTTTAATGCTGGATCAACCTCTCTAGAAATGTCAAATTTTAATTCCATTTTCCTTAAATGCATAGGAAGACTGCTCAGATTACCATTCTCATCTTAACCGGCATTTGAAGAAACACTACCCATAAATCAATTATAATTAAGAAAAATACATAAAATGATTATTAGAACAATTTGTTAATTGTAACAATTTATTAACTCAATCTAAATAATATATTTTATTAAATTTTGTTATATCAAATTAATCTAAAAGAAACTAAAAATAATCAGAAATCAAAGAATTTTTAATTTGGTAAAGCCATATCGTTTTCATCTTCAATCTATATTTCCTTCCAATCTTAAGACAAAATTTATTTCAGTAAAGTAATATTCATAATTACTATGTTGATTTCCATTTATTTCATTGAAATATAGAGATTTCGCACATTTTATTTAAGTATCCACTTAAAATCTGTAAAAATCTTAATTATTTTCATCATCAACTTCAATCATCAAATAATCCCAACTTTCATTTTAAACATTTCTTTCTTCCATCTCTTAAATAACAGTAGAGGTAGCCGCATTTTTATTTTTTACTCTTGTTATAAGAGCTATCTTAAATAGCTAATTTTTATTTATAAACATTTATCTAGATCAGTTATATATGATGCCTTTTTGATAAAACTATAATAATCTCTTAATGTTTTTTAGAATATCTATAAGATTAGCAGCCTATTTTAATATTGACTTGATGAAATTGCCTGTATAATCTGTATAACTATTTTGAAAAAGATCTCTCTATTACTAAACAAGGTTGCAAGCATCAAAAACATATCTTTGTTTGATCTATTTTATTTTTCAATATTTATCTGTATTAATTTCATATGAATTTATTTTTTTCATTAGTTTTAAACAGAATTCAAACGTATTGATAAATAATTATTATTTTAGAAATAGTTATTCTAAAACTTAAAATAGCAAGTAACTATTTCTCTATGAATTCTATTCTATCAACTCCCAGATTACTTAAATAAATAACTCCTTCATAATTTAGAAGTTTAAATTAATTAAATATTCGTCATGAAGACAATGAAGATAAGGGATTTATGACAAAATATGTTTCAATCTTAAAAAAAAATGCGAATGGATAGGTTATCACTATATAAAAAATTATTTATATTTTGAAATTGCATTAGTTATTAAGAAATTATGAATAATTAGAAACATTGAAAAAATATTTTGAAGATCACTTTCCATATATTGGGTAAAAAATTAGTGAAATAAAATTTAGCAAATTTAAGGATAGACTTGATGGAAATAAATGTTTGGACATTTTTCGATTTATGACTGTTGAAAAATACAAAACTTTAAATATAATATTTCGTCATGGAGAACCAGGAAGAAAAATGTATTTTATATTGTCTGGTGAAGTTGGAATATTTGTTCCAAAATGCAGATAAAGTTAAGAAATCTAAAATTTGATTTGCCAGTATTTAATTGATAATATTGCTAAGCGATTTTAAAGATATTTAAGAAATTTAGTTTTAAGAGTTTAGATTGGTTGCCTTAAAAAAGTTTGGAGATGTCTTTGGGGAGATCTCAATAGAATAGAGAGTTTCTAGAACTGCAACAGTAGTAGCTAAAACAGATGTTTTTGTAGCTTAATTATCATATGAAATGTATTAAGATGTAATTGGAAGACATCAGAATGAAATGACTGCTAAAAAACTATAATTTATTAACACAATTCCACTTTTTTAAGATTGGGATCAAAAATAAAAATTAATAGCTTTATCTAGCTTCGAATAAAATACATCTACTTGTGGATAAAGTATTTTCAAAACCGGAAATTTAGATGAATATATATATCTAGTGGTAACTGGAGAAGTTGAAATTATTAAATTTAATTAGGTTCAATCCAATTTTTCTTAAAAACTAGTAAAAAAGTTATAAATTATTGCCATCATTAATTCTGGTCAATTCTTTGGCGATTATGAACACATTTATAATATTTCAAATAGAATTACCTAAGCTAGAGCAAAGATGGACACAGTTTATTATAAAATTAAATACAATCTTTTTATTGATCTATTAGAAATGTATGGAAATATTGAAGAGTATAAAAACGCTTAAAAGATTAAATTTAATATTTAGTAGAATTTAGTTAATTAAGTTTAAAATTGTAAAAGTGAAAATTCAGATGAATAATATTCATTCAATTTAGATCTAAACCAATTAAAAACAAGTTACTATAAAAATTAGAAAATAGAAAAACTAAAAACCTAATTAAAAAAATAGATATTTAAAACTGAAGATAAAATTAAACAAGATTATTATAAAGATCAATTAAAAACTGTCAGTTAAGCTTTGAGTTTGTAAGAAACTATATAACTTAAAAAATATTCTAATTTAATACCTCATAAACATGATTTTTTTGTTAATGAAGAAAATTGTATTTCTTCGCCAAATCACGCTCGCTCCCAAAAGATTTTTAGTAAAGTGTTTGAAAAAAATGAAGAATTAAAGGCATAAAAAAAGAAAAATCTAAGTAAGTTTAGAGATAATCAAATTAAATATCATTTGAATAAAAAATTTAAAGGAATGAATCGATAAAAAATTAAAAGTCATAATGTTTAATTAGAATAATCAGATTCAATATCATTTTAAAAAATTATTGAAAACAAGGTTGCTAAACTTAATCTAACAAAATCATATGAAAAGATTAAAAGAGCAACATCTGAAAATGATTTAAAATAAGAGTAAAGAACTCCTCATACTTATTTATCACTTCATATTCGATCTTATCATTAAGAAAGTCTTTCTTCTAATAGATCAATATAATTTAAATCATAAATAAAACAAAATATGCAAGAGTTTAAATTTTAGAAAACGATTTAATTTTGATTGTTTCAATATTTTATTATTGTTTATAATTTATGCTTAATGTTTTGTTGTTTTTTTCTTTACTTATTATCATTAGATTTTGATCTTGAAATAAGTGGTGTTTCAAGATAAATTTAATATTTGAATAAATTTCAGTAAATAATATATAAAAATAAGTTTTTTACTACTTATCTATTATCGATTTTACACAGATTGAGAATAAGAAAATAAATCTAAATATAAAATAGATGCAATTATTTATCTTTTTGAGTTATTATTATAAAAAAAACTAAGTTCAATAAATTAGTTTGATTAGGAATAATGAATCTCCTACTTTACAAAAACTCTTAAATATTCATATTTTCACCGATATTAATTAAATTCAGCCCTATAATCACCAAGAAAAAAGGTCTATACTAAGCCATATTAGAGCATGATGGATTTCTTAAATTTAATTACAACTAAGAGCAATGATAAAATAATTGAATTAATTATAAAAGTAAGTTTTTAACTAAATTAGTAAATTGAGGAAAATGATAATAGGTTGCTATCTTATTAGGAAATATCTTAAAGTGTAAAAAATTATGATGGATTCAATTATAGAATAAAATATTGGAGATCCTTGTATTTATAATATGGTTATGGAGTAATTAAATCAATTTTTGATGTATAAATTATTGAGATTATAAGACCATAGAAATTGATTATAATGAAGAAGTAAAAATAAAAAAACTTAGATTACTGTTTGAAAGTAGAAGCTAGACTTTTATATTATTATTGACGATGTCTTTTAAAGATATTAATTATATTTATAGATTACTTATATTTAAGTTTTATTCTTATTGTTTTTTTCTAAGCAGTATAAATCCTAAACTATATTCTATTTTACTTCCTTTTATTTATATCAAATACTATTTAAATTATACTTTATTAATTTAATTTTATAATGGTTTTCATCCTTTCTTTAGAGGAGGCTTAAATATCGATAAAAATAGATAAACCAAGCTATTTTCCAGGAGATATAATAAAAGGAGTTATATATATAAAAGTTAAAACAAAAGATATAAATGCTGGTATATTGTACCTTAAAGTAAAAAATATGTTATATTTATATTTAGTTTTGTGGCTAAGAAAAAGTAAACTAATTAGATTAACATAATCAATTTTTCAGTTTCAAATAGTTTATATATAAAAAATAAAAGAAGATAGCAGATTTTGGAAAGTATTGTAGAATTAAAAAATAGAAAAATGCCAATAATAGCATGCAGAAAATATTTTGAAATAGAAGTTCCAGATCTGACACCTAGTTTTACTATAAACTATTATAAATTGGTGCAATGCAGAATCTTATATTTCCTATCAGTTACTTTATAAAGTGAAGATGAGAAATATTTATATAAACCTCCAAAGTAGCATAGAGTTGTGATTCATCTTCTTTAAAAAGCCTCATTACAACCTGCTCTATCGATGGAACATATTGGAGAGTCAAAAATAGTAAAAAGATGCTGCTTTCAAAGTGGGGTAACATCTTAATTTAATTATAGAGTACAAAAGTTAAAATATGCTTAAGTAAACCCTCTTATATTTTTGGAGATAATATTGATTTAGTTATTCAAGTTGACAATAGTTAATCATATTATTCAATAATAAAATTCAAATTCTAAATATCTGCCTAATTACTAATTTTGTATAAATCGTAAAAACGAAAATTATCGAATTATTTTGATTTACTTGATTAAGAATTAAATTGTAAATATTATACTACATAATAGAATAAATTTAAGCAGGAGAGTAAAAGGAGGTAAAAACAACATTGAGTTTACCAAATGGAAAACCAACAAATATTATCTCAATTTTCCCTTAGAGCTCTATAAAAACCAAAAGAATTACATTTTAATATATAATGACTCTAAGAATTATATTCGGGAAAAGATTATTTATGAGTTAAGAAGATTTAATAGTTCCTATTCCATTGATATTAATTTAATAATAAAAAAGAGAGAAAAATAATATATTATAATCTATGGAGAATATTAGTATGATTGGATCTGTTTTTGAAACAAATTAAAAAATGAATTTAAGTGTGATAAAAAAGTTTATTTATGGAGATCATAATTATGCAGGATATGGTGAATAAGATGGTTATTAAGGAATTAAGAGAAAATATGATCCTGTGGAGAGTTTAGATGAAGATGCTTTAAAGAATAAGAAAGGAGCATTAGAATAATTGATGTTTAAAAAATAATATGCAATAGAGGATGATAATGATAATGAAGATAAGTTAATTGAAGAAATTGATGGAGTGAATTTAAATAATGTTAGTTTAAATATTGAACAATCTGAGAAATAGTAATAACCAAAGACTATTTTTTAATCAAACAACCAAAATGATATATATATACAAAACTCTAATATAGAAGAAGAAGCTAAATTAGATAATGGTATATAAAATTAATTATAAACAATCAAAGAAGAATAAGATAGTAAAGGCACCTAATATAATCTTAATAATGCCCTCTCTTAATCTTATATTAAAAAAAATCATCAAGGAGAAGATAATGATGAATAATAAAATAAACTAACTTAGTAGTAATCTTATCCAATTGAAGGATTCGGCTCATTTTAACAAGTAACTATTTAAAAAGAAGAATTTAATGATTTTAAAATGAATCATGAAAATAATAACTAAATTAAACCAACTATTATGAAATAAAATGGATCACTATCAAATTCAATTGATTAAAATGATTAAAAAGAATATAAATAAATTAAAATGTTATTTAATGATGCTACATCAGTTGATACTTTAGATGGTAAAACTGGAGAAAGATTAAGTACTTAATGTAGAAAAAATGAAACTCAATAAAAATAATTTTGAATTATATTTTTTATTAATTTATTTAATTTATTTAAATTCTTGTTTCATTATTATTCAGAGATAAAAATCAACATTTAAATGCTAGTTATATCATTTAAAATATAATAAATCACCCCTATTATTAAAATGATAATTCCAAATAATTTAAAGATTAACATTCTTCGATTTTATAACTATGACATTGAAATGATAAAGAATTTTTAGAACAAGTGTCTTCTAAGAGATTATCAACAATTTCCAAGATTGATTCATCTATGTTTTCTTATTTTTATTCGCTTAGTATATATACTTATGGCAAATTATTTTCTTTTGAACTAATTATTTAAGTTCTCAATGACTTAATAATATTAATCCACTCATCTAACTTTAATGTTAAAAGTTATTTTTATAAATCATAAGTAGTTTCAATAGAATCATCTATTAAGTCAAATTAAGCCTTATTATGCCCAAAGTAAACAATACCAAATCTCTATTAATGTCTTTCCTTCTCTTATAACAATTCTTTTAAAAGTCGTAATCTTTTTTTATTTTCTTTCATTGTTAAATCTATTATAAATGCTATATCACATTCTAGCTTCCATTCTAAAAGCTATTGTTACTTTTCGAATAAACTTGAAATTGACGACCCTTTTTTATTTTTATTTGGAGATTTATGTAGCTAATCTAATCTTCTTAATATATAAGATAAATCATCTGCAATAAAAATATCTTTTGATTTGCAGTTTTTTGTCTTTTACGCAGCCCTTCCTTTATTAGTATTTTTGATTTAATCAAATTATTTAGTGTTTTAGTATTTAGCAGTTTTCTAAGATGAGCATTAAATACCCATTAAAGTAAATAAAAATAGTTTATTTATTATTTTTAGGAAATATTTAGAACCTTCATAAATTTTATTTAAATGATCAATTATGATTATGTTTATATTAATAAAAAGAAAAATGTTATTTTAACATAAGCATTTTTTATACTTTTACAAAATTATCCAAATATAAAAACTGAGTTTCATGAATCATTCTATCTTATTTGCTCATTAAATTTGTGATTACTAATAAAAAACAGAAAATATCTAAAAATTTATGTAATATTTTACTTCTTAAGAATATCTAACATAAAAAAGATATGAATCATTCTTTCTTAATTATTATTAATAGATATATTTATTTTTATAATTGGCTTTTAAAATTTTGAAAATTCATGTATTATTACTATTTTCATCATCTTCTTAGATTTGAGTTTCTTCATTTATTTAATTATAAATTAAAAGTTTTTCTTATTCTTCATCTTCCTTTTCTAAAATATGGCTTAAATCAGCTAAACTTGCATCATTTTAAATTTCTGTATAGATGGAATTAGTCAATCTAATAAAATAATAAACAATTAAAGCAACTATGATAACCATTGTAAATTTTAACCATAGAGGAACATAATTACTAGTATCTCCTGATTATAATACATCAGAAAGTGAATCTAAATTAGACCCCATATAAACCCAGAATCCAGCCCAAACGACAGTACCAAAAAAAGTTGGATGTAAAAATTCCCAATGAGTAATTCTAAATAAACCACAAGCATAAGTTTTAAAAATTGTTGGAATGGCCAAAAATTAAATAAGATACATAACTTTAGTTGGTTTACGTTCTGTTGCTAAATAACAAGTGATAAAGTAAATATTTTCATTCATAGCGGTATAAATAAAGTTTCTAAGAATATACCTTCCTATTAAAAAGCCAATATATCTGTAATAATATAAATTATTTATACTTGGCTAAGAATTTAGCTAAGGAAACAGTGATTAAAGCAAACCAAAAAGGATGAATTAAAAATCCTGCTAAAATATCATATAAAACAACGTTAAAGCCAGTTAAAACAAACCATAAACCAATAATTCCAATATAGAAAGCACCTATGTATTGCCCTATCTATATTTTTATAATAAATTTACCCTACTCATTAAAATCATTAAGCACATTAAAACAATAGTATCTAAAATCTCTTACCCAATATAAAAGTAATACAAAGGTCACCAATATAATTGAGTATAATACCATTATAATAAACAGTACTTTTTATGCTTTATCTCTTTTAGGATTATGTTCAGATGTTGCTAAATTCTTTAAATTCATTATTACATGAACCATCCTTTGCCTTTTTATACTTTTATCTTAATTCCTTACTTTAATTTGCATAAAATTGCTAATCTCTATTTTGCATGATCATTCGTTTTTACTAACAATCAAAATTCGGAATTATAAAATTTATAATTATTTTTTAACTTATAATCAAATATGTTTTTAATGAGTGATTATCAACCCAATTTAGAGAGCACATTTGTGTACATTAATTCATAGTCTTTTAAAGATAGTTAACATTATTTCGAAATATGATTAAATAATTTAGAGAATGTGTCTAAAGATTTGATTTTAAATTATTATCCTAGTTATATTACTATCGATTAAATTATTTCGATTGTAATTGTTTCTCCAGAGTTGATTTTTCTTTAGAAATATTTATCAAATTCTTAAAGTATGGTTTCCTCTTTAAAAGTGAATTTCATTAAATTTGATGCATATGATAGACCTTTTCGATCATTTTTAGTTCTTATTTTTGCTTTAATAATTATTGTAAATACATTCTTTATAACCATATGGATCATTATTTGGATTTAAATATTATAAATATTATCCAGATGTTTTTTCTCTGTATTTTTTATGTTTAGGCCACATTTAATTAGGTTAATGAAGAGTTTATTATAAACCTGGATCAATTGAACTTTATACTCTTCTAAAAAAATGTGGTTTATTTTCTGGTACTATTTCACTTTTAGGTTTAATAAAAGTGACTGATTCACTAGATAATGGATTTTTGTATGGTTAATATTTAGATTCTTGAATAGGGTATTCATTTTCTAAATATTTCATATGATTTAATGGCCATGCTTTGACTTTATTTAGATATTCTCGATGATTATATTTTTCAAACCACATCAAACTTTAGCCTCCATAATTATATCCTGATGGATCTATCAAACCTTTATATGGTTTATGCATCTGTAATGATATATTTTATAAATTTTATCAATAAATTATTATCAAAATAATTTAGAATAAAAAGAATATTATTGTTATTAAATGATTAAATATGAAAACAATTAATTTATTTAGAATGATGATAGAATAAAGTTTAATATTGGTTGGAATAAAAAAATGTTAAATTATATTTGCAATTGATTAGTTCGATAAAATATTTTATAAATTTAAGAATTTTAGAAAAATTTAGAATAAACAGTTGAACTTCCATATAGGATGATACGAAATGTAGTTATCCATATAAAATGATTAGTAATTGAGAAATTGAAAAATTCTGTTTGCAAATAATTTTAATAAGTATATAATTAAAAGTAATAAATTGCGTATAGTTTAATTATGATAGGTATTATTAAAAATATTTTGGAATATCAAAATGTCAATAGAAGTAGGAAAAGCTATAGGATTTGAGACAGAAGAAGTTAGAGCATTATGTACTGAGAGAGATGCAATTTTATATTCACTTGGTATAGGATATAGTTCTGATCCTATGAATGGAGAAGAATTATCTTATACATATGAATTGCATGATGATTTCAAGGTTTTTCCAACTTTCACAACTTGTTTACATAGAACAGATATATTTAAGGTTTATTATTATAATATTTATTAAGGCTTTAACATCATGTCCTGGAATTCCTAATTTTAATCCAATGATGTTATTACATGGAGAATAGAGAATTTAAGTGTTGAGACCATTGAAAGCAGGTGTTGAATATGTAACAAAAGGAAAGATAGCTAACGTATCTGATAAAGGAAAAGGAGCATTGATTTAATTTGATTTATTAAGTTCAGAAGTAGATGGATAAGGAAAAAAGACATTGGCTTTTGTTAATACATTATCTCTATTTATCAGAGGATTAGGAGGTTTTGGACATAAAGGAAATCCAGTTGAAAATATACCTGCCATACCTAAAAGACCTGCATGCAAAGAAGTAAAATAAGTTACAACTCCGAATTAAGCAATCATTTATAGATTATCTGGAGATATTAATCCATTACATATTGATCCTGTATTATATTAAATTAAGTGTTTAAGAATATGGCTGCTTTGGGAGGATTTGATAAACCTATTTTACATGGATTATGTACTTATGGTATATGTGCTAAAGCTGCTATTCAAACATTTACTTAAGTATTTTATTATCTTATTTTAGGGAAATGGAGATGCTCTTAAAAATATGG